TCGCTGAAGCTTCCTCCTCACCAGCACACATCCCAGTGATGGAAGCTCCTCCACAATCCCCTGATCTATCAGTCCTACATGAGGCTGAACGAGGACTGAGTGCTGAAGATTCCGATTCTGGCATTAACCCAACTGTGTCCATCCTCAAGGGTCATCCCAACCAAAAATGATAGGCGAGTCGGCTTTGATCTCCATCCCATCATTCCTGACACCTGGGAGTGGAAGTTGTGTTCCTGGACAGCTTTGTGTGTTCCATCTCCCTATGTTACATTCTTCATAATATAAAATAAATAGAACCCAGAGCATGGATGGTGGGAACCCCTCATAATGGGCACAGTGGGTGTGTACAGACCCGGAAACAAGACACAAGGATGGTGGGAACCCCGTCATAATGGCCACAGCGGGCGTACAGGTCCGGGAACTCGGCACAGGGATGGTGGGAACCCCTCATAATGGGCACAGCGGGCGTACAGATCCGGGAACTCGGCACAGGGATGGTGGGAACCCCTCATAATGGGCACCGCGGGCGTACAGATCCGGGAACTCGGCACAGGGATGGTGGGAACCCCTCATAATGGGCACAGCGGGCGTACAGACCTGGGAACTCAGCACAGGGATGGCGGGAAGCCCTCATAATGGGCACAGCGGGTGTACAGACCCGGGAACTCAGCACAGGGATGCTGGGAACCCCTCATAATGGGCGGGTGTACAGAGGGAACTCAGCATAGGGACAGTGGGAAGCCCTCATAATGGGCACAGCCGGCGTACAGACCCGGGAACTCAGCACAGGGACAGTGGGAACCCCTCATAATGGGCACAGCGGGTGTACAGACCTGGGAACTCAGCATAGGGACAGTGGGAAGCCCTCATAATGGGCACAGCGGCGTACAGACCTGGGAACTCAGCACAGGGACAGTGGGAAGCCCTCATAATGGGCACAGCGGGTGTACAGACCTGGGAACTCAGCATAGGGACAGTGGGAAGCCCTCATAATGGGCACAGCCGGCGTACAGACCTGGGAACTCAGCACAGGTACAGTGGGAAGCCCTCATAATGGGCACAGCGGGTGTACAGACCTCAGCACAGGGACAGCGGGAAGCCCTCATAATGGGCACAGCGGGTGTACAGACCCGGGGGAACTCAGCACAGGGATGGCGGGGAAGCCCTCATAATGGGCACAGGGGTGTACAGACCTGGGAACTCAGCACAGGGACAGCGGGAAGCCCTCATAATGGGCACAGCCGGCGTACAGACCCAGGAACTCAGCACAGGGATGGTGGGAAACCCTCATAATGGGCACAACACCCTAGGGCTGGGAGTGTATTAGAACTACAGGACACCTCCATATCATCGATGGGGGAAGTGTTTTGTAGTCCACAAAAAGAGCCGGAAACAATGTCATGGGGATTTTCTAGTACAATACAGCGCCACTACCGCAGTGCTGTACACCAGACTCATTGAAATCTATTCAATCTTCTTGCATCCAACCTCCTATGGTGCGGGCGAACCCTTAGAGGGAGGGGTAAGTGAACCTGCCCCCCACATTCAATTTAGTACATTGCGCCATTCTGCTCGGTACGCGGCCCCTGCTTCCGGAAGTGATAATTGGCCGTTCCGCCATGAGTGGCAGTTCACGCTGCGTCTGTCCCATGATGGGGCTCATTAGCGGCTCTTCTATGTATGAGCTGTGCGTCGTCTTTTGTCTGAGACGTCCATTTTTGGATATTCTTCTATCGTCCTCCGTCTCTCTGATCTCCTCTCCAGGAGACTCCTCAGAACTCATCTGCTGGAATCTTTTTTCTGTCTTCTCATGTAAATGAAAAGATTCCTCCACATCACTGCTCTGTCGTCGGAACCTTGGTGAATATTATCCCCGCGGCGCGCGGTGCGAACGTTCACAGATGACAGATTACCGCCAATTCACCACCGCCAGACAGGGATTGTCCCCCTCATTAGACATCACACATCGACTATCACCCCATTTATACAATACTCACATCAATCGCACCCAGTCTACATACACTTATTTCAGATGGAGCGGAAACTTCAGCCGAACAGATTAATGGAGATCAAAATCCAACGTAGGTCTAAATTCAGCGAAGATTGAAATCCAACGCAGACCTAAATCCAACACAGATCGAAATTCAATGAAGATCGAAATCCAGTGCAGATCGGAATCAAATGCTGATCATAATCCATCACAAATCTAAATTGATCACAGATCTAACTCCAGCGTAAATGGAAATCCAATGTAGATCTAAATCCATCACAGAATGAATTCCAAAGCAAATCTACATCCAACATATATCTAAATCCATCTGAGATCTACATCCAACATAGAACTAAATCCATCTGAGATCTACATCCAACATAGATCTAAATCCATCTGAATCTACATCCATAGAACTAAATCCATCTCAGATCTACATCCAACATAGAACTAAATCCATCTGAGATCTACATCCATCATAGAACTAAATCCATCTGAGATCTACATCCAACATAGAACTAAATCCATCTGAGATCTACATCCATCATAGAACTAAATCCATCTGAGATCTACATCCAACATAGAACTAAATCCATCTGAGATCTACATCCATCATAGAACTAAATCCATCTGAGATCTACATCCAACATAGATCTAAATCCATCTGAGATCTACATCCAACATAGAACTAAATCCATCTGAGATCTACATCCAACATATATCTAAATCCATCTGAGATCTACATCCAACATAGAACTAAATCCATCTGAGATCTACATCCAACATAGATCTAAATCCATCTGAGATCTACATCCAACATAGATCTAAATCCATCTGAGATCTACATCCAACATAGATCTAAATCCATCTGAGATCTACATCCATCATAGAACTAAATCCATCTCAGATCTACATCCAACATAGATCTAAGTCCATCGCAGATCTACATCCATCATAGAACTAAATCCATCTCAGATCTACATCCAACATAGAACTAAATCCATCTCAGATCTACATCCATCATAGAACTAAATCCATCTGAGATCTACATCCAACATAGAACTAAATCCATCTGAGATCTACATCCAACATAGATCTAAATCCATCTGAGATCTACATCCAACATAGAACTAAATCCATCTGAGATCTACATCCAACATAGATCTAAATCCATCTGAGATCTACATCCAACATAGAACTAAATCCATCTGAGATCTACATCCAACATAGATCTAAATCCATCTGAGATCTACATCCAACATAACTAAATCCATCTGAGATCTACATCCAACATAGAACTAAATCCATCTGAGATCTACATCCAACATAGAACTAAATCCATCTGAGATCTACATCCAACATAGATCTAATCCATCTGAGATCTACATCCAACATAGAACTAAGTCCATCTGAGATCTACATCCAACATAGATCTAAATCCATCTGAGATCTACATCCAACATAGATCTAAGTCCATCTGAGATCTACATCCAACATAGATCTAAATCCATCTGAGATCTACATCCAACATAGATCTAAGTCCATCTGAGATCTACATCCAACATAGATCTAAGTCCATCTCAGATCTACATCCAACATAGATCTAAGTCCATCTGAGATCTACATCCAACATAGATCTAAGTCCATCTGAGATCTACATCCAACATAGAACTAAATCCATCTGAGATCTACATCCAACATAGAAAAATATCCATCTGAGATCTACATCCAACATAGATCTAAGTCCATCTCAGATCTACATCCAACATAGAACTAAATCCATCTGAGATCTACATCCAACATAGATCTAAGTCCATCTCAGATCGAAATCCACAGCAGGTCTAAATCCAACCCGGATCTATGTAAATCCATTGTAGATCTACAACCCCTGGAACCCCTGGCATAAAGTATGGAATCCCCACTCTTGGAAACTGTTCATTCAATTGTTTGTGTTTTTATTTAACATTCCAACCTTCTGGCTTTAAGAAACACTTAAAACAATTAAAAAGTAATTAAACTGTAGTCAGCTGCAACTGTTTTTGCAGATCAAGCAGAGGAGAAAAATATGGAATCCTTCAACTCTGAGGACAATATTATGGAAAACACTCCAGTACACCACAAGTACTTTGTCGCACCACCTCTGGCTTTTATAACAGCTTGAATCCTCTGAGGTGTGGATTTAACTATTGATAAACAGAATTCTTCATCAATCTGGCTCCAACTTTCTCTGATTGCAGTTGCCAGATCAGCTTTGCAGGTTGGAGCCTCTTCATGGACCATTTTCTTTCATTTCCACCATAGATTTTCAGTTGGATTGGGGTGCGGACTATTTGCAGGCCATGCTATTGACATGACACGTCTTTCTTGAAGGAAAGTCTTCACACCTTTTGCCCTATGACAAGATTATTATAATACAGGATTTATGGCGCCAACAGTTTGCTCAGCGCTGTACAATATAAAGGGAGGCAATACAGCAACAAAACAGTTCAATACAAGAGGGTTAGGAGGGCCCTGATCCTGGGAGCTTACAATCTAAGATGGAGGGGCTGGTGGTACAAAAGGTAATAACTGTGGGGGATGGACTGGTAGAAAGAATAGAAGATTCCATTATTAGCTGAGGGCAGGATAGGCTTCCCTGAAGAGATAGGTTTTCAGAGATCACCTAAGAGTCTGATAGATTGGGGTAGAGAGTTCCAGAGGATGGGGTAGGCTCTGAAGAAGTCCTGGAGATGAGCATTGGAGGAAGAGACAAGGGTGCTAGAGAGCAGGAGGTCATGCGAGTGGAGAGGACGGTTTGGGTGATATTTGGAGACAAGACTGGTGATGTCATTTGGGGCGGAGTTATAAATGGGTTTATATGTTATTGTTAATGTTTTGAATTTTATTCGTTGGGCAATGGGAAACCAGTGGAGGGATTGGCAGAGAGGGGTGGAGGACACTGAATAGAGGCCAGTAGAGGGCTTGGCAAAGAGTGGTGGAGGACACTGAGTGGAGGTCAGTGGAGGGATTGGCAGAGAGGGGTGGAGGACACTGAGTGGAGGTCAGTGGAGGGATTGGCAGAGAGGGGTGGAGGACACTGAGTGGAGGCCAGTGGAGGGATTGGCAGAGAGGGGTGGAGGACACTGAGTGGAGGCCAGTGGAGGGATTGGCAGAGAGGGGTGGAGGACACTGAGTGGAGGCCAGTGGAGGGATTGGCAGAGAGGGGTGGCAGATACAGAACGGAGGTCAGTGGAGGGATTGGCAGAGAGGGGTGGAGGACACTGAGTGGAGGTCAGTGGAGGGATTGGCAGAGAGGGGTGGCAGATACAGAACGGTTAGTAAGGTGGATGAGTCTGGCAGCAGCGTTCATGATAGACTGAAGAGGGGATAGCCTGCGATGAGGTCGGCCAATGAGGCGAGATGCATTACCATCCTGAAATATGGCGTCATCATCACCAAACATCCTTTCAATTGATGGAATAAGAAAAGCATTCACAACCTCAATATAAACTTTTGCATTTATTGTAGATTGAATGACTGTCGCTGTTGTTTCAGCCTTTCCCTGACATGCAACCCCAGATCCTGGATGATGGTGGACATTTGCATGTTTTCTCCAGGCTGGGGTGTTTATACATTTCATTGAAAGGGCACCAAACAAAAGTTCCGGCATCTTCCCCCTGCCCAATGCTGATTGGTGGTTCCTCCCTGAACATCCCCTTCATCCAATCATCCGCAGCCCAGGATTGCTTTTCTTTAGCTCACTGTCACTTCGTTGTTTTCTGTTCAGGTGTTGATGATGGTTTTTGTTTGGCTTTTTTGTATGTAAATCGCATTTTCTTTCGGAGTGTGCTTACAGTTCAGTCGCAGACAATGACTCCGGGTTCTCCCATTTCTTCATTTGTTTGTTGGGCATTTTCTGTTCTCAAGGAGTATTGCTGAGTTTTCTATCTTGAGGGGTTGATGTCCTCCTTGGTCTGGCAGTATTCTTCCCTACTTGGTTCAGATTTCAGACACAGCTGACCGGGAACAACCAGCATCTTCTGCAACATTCTGTGATGATTTATCTTCTTGTAGAAGTTTTCTGATCCTCTCCGTTGTTTCAGCGGACACCTCCGGTGTTGGAGCCATGATACGTGTCCATCAGCTTGGCGGAACAGCCCACCAAGGGGTGCAGGCACTCTTTTTAAACCGCAAACTTACGCAGTCCATAGACGGGTCGTTTATCGGCCGATTTTTTCCTCCGCACGATTTTGCGGGCTGCTTTCGGGGTGTTGTTAACATACACACCCGCAGTGGTTCGCATGAATGGGGTGCGATTCTGAAGCGCTGCGGACTTGGCGCAGGAAAACGCTTTGAATTCCGCACCGCATCAGTGTGAACCCGGGCTGAAGCTATTTACTGTTGATGGGCTCACTGCCTCTGCTGGAAGTTGATTCCAAGCTTCCACTACTCTTTCAGTAAAATAGAACGTTCTGAGAGCTAAGCTGAAGAAAAAGAGAGGGAAAAAATGAACCGGAGTGCTTCACAAACGCACCAAAATGTGTCAAACGCACATCCAGATCGCATCTGGACTGCGTTTGTAGTGGTTATCACTGGGGGCGCACTGATACCATTTTTTTTTTAACCAGTGAGTATGCGTACTAATACCTTTTGCGGTACAATTTGAGCCCCAAAAAAAATCAATGCGGTGCAATTCCTGTCTGAATCACATTCGGTTTCCCTGCAGGTACAGTGCGATTTGCACCATTCCTTTTGTATGGCTCCAACTGCACCGCACCCACGTGTGATTCAGACAGGAACTGCACCGCACCCACAGGGAAACCGCGTGCGATTCAGACAGGAATTGCACCGCACCCGCAGGGAAACCGTGTGCGATTCAGACAGGAATTGCACCCACAGGGAAACCGCGTGCGATTCAGACAGGAATTGCACCGAACCCGCAGGGAAACAGCGTGCGATTCAGACAGGAATTGCACCGCACCCGCAGGGAAACCGCGTGCGATTCAGACAGGAACTGCACCGCACCCGCAGGGAAACCGCGTGCGATTCAGACAGGAACTGCACCGCACCCGCACCCGGGGGAAACCGCGTGCGATTCAGACAGGAACTGCACCGCACCCGCAGGGAAACCGCGTGCGATTCAGACAGGAATTGCACCGCACCCGCAGGGAAACCGTGTGCGATTCAGACAGGAATTGCACCCACAGGGAAACCGTGTGCGATTCAGACAGGAATTGCACCCACAGGGAAACCGCGTGCGATTCAGACAGGAATTGCACCGCACCCGCAGGGAAACCGCGTGCGATTCAGACAGGAATTGCACCGCACCCGCAGGGAAACCGCGTGCGATTCAGACTGGAATTGCACCGCACCCGCAGGGAAACCGCGTGCGATTCAGACTGGAATTGCACCGCACCCGCAGGGAAACCGCGTGCGATTCAGACAGGAATTGCACCGCACCCACAGGGAAACCGCGTGCGATTCAGACTGGAATTGCACCGCACCCGCAGGAAACCGCATGCGATTCAGACAGGAATTGCACCGCACCTGCCGGGAAATCACGTGCGATTCAGACAGGAACTGCACCGCATTCCTCTTTAAATCGCATGCGATTCTTGCAGTGCGATTTGAGCCATTCATTTATGTATGCGCTCAAATTGTTTTTGCGGTGCAATTTGAGCCCAAAAAAAAAAATCAATGTGGTGCGATTCCTGTCTGAATCACATTCGGTTTCCCTGCGGGTACAGTGCGATTTGCACCATTCCTTTTGTATGGCTCCAACTGCACCGCACCCACGTGTGATTCAGACAAGAATTGCACCGCACCCGCAGGGAAACCGCGTGTGATTCAGACAGGAATTGCACCGCACCCGCAGGGAAACCGCGTGCGATTCAGACAGGAATTGCACCGCACCCGCAGGGAAACCGCGTGCGATTCAGACAGGAATTGCACCGCACCCGCAGGGAAACCGCGTGCGATTCAGACAGGAATTGCACCGCATTCCTGTTTAAATCGCATGCGATTCTTGCAGTGCGATTTGAGCCGTTCATTTATCTGTGCACTCAAATCGTACCGCAAAGATATCGGAGCCTTTATACAAGTACTGCAAATGCTTCGTATCGGCACCAATACCGCGCCAATCCGAGTTGTCACATATGTATAATTGTGTGTTGTTGTTTTTGTGTTTTTGTTTTATTAATGTGTGTTCATCAAAGTGAAACATCTGCAGGAGATATAAATGGTAAACTCAATAAATCTGATCATTAAAGTCCATTCCTAAAAAAAAAACAATCTCATGGTGCAGGCAGTCGATGTTTTAGGGGCATAGAAAATGCCAATGAGGGATCTGAGCAGAAAGGTGAAAGCATACAATGCATCAGGTTCCATGCACAAAAAAATGCTGGTAATAGCGTTTATAGGAGCGGTAGCGTTTATTTATGGGGTTTTTTTTTTGTTTGTTTTTTTTTATAGTACATATAGAAGGGAAAAAAAAGCTGTTAGGAGCTCCAAAAAAAGATGCTGAAGGTCAAAAAAATGCTAATAGCCTGAAGCAGTGTGCACAGACACATAGGAGGACACTGTGCAGCTTCTAGGAGCAGACATTCCTATGCTGATAACAGCTTCCAGGAGCTTAAAAACTGCCAGTGTGTATGGAGCCTCAGCCGGGGTTCACACTGATGGGGGGCGGCACATCGCATGTGATTTCTGTGCAGTGCAATTTGAGACGTACATGTCGTTATTTGGCTCAAATCGTACGCATCCACACAAAAATAGTCAAGGACTCTTTTTTTTTCAAGCACAAGAAAGGGTTCCCTTGAGGGTAGTATGGGGGGGAGGGGTCACCTGAGGGTAGTATGGGGGGGGGGAGGGGTCACCTGAGGGTAGTATGGAAGGGTCACCTGAGCATAGCATGGAGGGGGAGGGATCACCTGAGGGTAGCATGGAGGGATCACCTGAGGGTAGCATGGGGGGGGGGTCACCAGAGGGTAGCATGGAGGGGTCACCCGAGGGTTGCATGGAGGGGTCACCCGAGGGTAGCATGGAGGGATGGAGACGTCATTCGAGGGTAACATGGAGGGGGAGGGGTCATCTGAGGGTAGCATGGAGGGGAAGGGTCACCCGAGGGTAGTATGGAGGGAGAGGGGTCACCTGAGGGTAGCATGGAGGGGTCATCTGAGGGTAGCATGGAGGGGTCACCTGAGGGTAGCATGAAGGAGGAGGGGTCACATGAGGGTAGCATGGAGGAGAAGGGGGTCACCCGAGGGTAGCATGGAGAAGGGGGTCACCCGAGGGTAGCATGGAGGGGGAGGGGTCACCCGAGGGTAGTATGGAGGGGTCACCTGAGGGTAGCACGGAGAGGGTCACCTGAGGGTAGCATGAAGGAGGAGGGGTCACATGAGGGTAGCATGGAGGAGAAGGGGGTCACCCGAGGGTAGCATGGAGGAGAAGGGGGTCACCCGAGGGTAGCATGGAGGAGAAGGGGGTCACCCGAGGGTAGCATGGAGGAGAAGGGGGTCACCCGAGGGTAGCATGGAGGAGAAGGGGGTCACCCGAGGGTAGCATGGAGGGGGAGGGGTCACCCGAGGGTAGTATGGAGGGGTCACCTGAGGGTAGCACGGAGAGGGTCACCTGAGATTAGCAATGGTCACCTGAATAAGCCCCCGTATTAGTCTGATGGCAGGGAGCAGTGATGGTGTCAGGGAGTGTTGGTGTCAGGGGCAGTGATGGTGTCAGGGAGTGTTGGTGTCAGGGAGCAGTGATGGTGTCAGGGAGTGTTGGTGTCAGGGAGCAGTGATGGTGTCAGGGAGTGTTGGTGTCAGGGAGCAGTGATGGTGTCAGGGAGCAGTGTTGGTGTCAGGGAGCAGTGTTGGTGTCAGGGAGCAGTGTTGGTGTCAGGGAGCAGTGATGGTGTCAGGGAGCAGTGATGGTGTCAGGGAGTGTTGGTGTCAGGCTAGGAGTCAGAGCCGGAATCTCATCTCTGTATCCCACAGATTTTGCATTTTTATGCCGTTCTGATTCCACCTGAAACTTACACCCCCCATGTACATGGATGGAGGATTAGAATTGCAAATCCAAATGTTGTGGTTTTGGCACAGTGGCCGCGCCGCTTCTCTATGAGAAAAAAACAAATCTCTTCCCGTCTCATGTCTCTGAAAAAATAAATGTGCACAGTGTGCGGTTGTAATGCAGAGAAGTGTGGAGAAGATGGGAGGGTTGGTGGCTTAAAGGCGACCTTCAGTCTTCCTTTCAGATTTATTTTATTTGACCCCCAACAGTACCAAGAGATCCAATGAGGAACCCCAGCAATACCAAGATATCCAATGAGGAACTCCAG